TTTATGTTAACTCTTTTATTCGTACCCTATTTGGCAAGTCCAAGTCTCTAAGATCCCCTATTGGGCTGCCAAACAAGTTTTGCTGCTAAAAAGACTCGTGACGATGACTCGTGCTTGGCCTCCCCTGTTAATCAAACAAAAGACATATATACATATGTATATAAATCATACATAAATACATATATGCACATTTGTACATATATACATATGCATACATGTGTATGTGATTTTACTTTTGTTTTACTGAGAAACCTTGATATATGCAATAATTATTGGTCAAACACGAGAGTAGCTCGAACCACAGTCGAGGGTAAATGACGGTCGTTTGCTAAAAACTAAGCTGCAAAAAATAGCAAAAAAAAACATATGTTGATGAGCCTTGTCATACCCTGTTCAGCAAGTATGAGTACTTGAAATTATTACCACCTAAGCCTACTATGAAAGGAAATACAGATATGCATAGGTATTGCTATACATAGGTATATATTTACACATATGAACATACATACATATGAGTGATGATATATAGAGATGATTTTCCATTGTGAATTGATATACCCTATAGCAACACGTGACTGGTTGAGAAATCTCAGTTAAAACTTTCCGTTAATCATGTACACACACATATATCCATACTTACGCACCCATGCGCTCGCGGTATCCTATGCATGTGTGTAGGTTCGCGAACGTGCGGGCAAGCATATCTCAACATATATGTATGTACATATGTATGTATATGCATGTGTGTGTCTGCCTCTCAGTGTAGTTTTACTTGTAGTTGTTTGTCTGCGCGCACAATCCGTTTACAGTAAAAGCAGCAGTAGGGAATTGTGCGAGCTCACTCATTGATAGGCAATGTGTATGATTTGTTATGAAATACATAGAAAGACGAGCCCCCGACAATTGGGGGCGCGTTTTGCAGTCATTTAAGCGGAAAACAAACTAATAGCAAACGATGCCACAATAACAATAATCAATTATTAAGCTTTCATAAACAAAATTGATTGTTTCGAACTCACACTTGGACTTGGACTCGGACTGGGCTGGATTGGATTGGGTTGGGTTGGGTTCGGGTTTGGGGTTTTTTTGGACTGCTGCTTGGACTGAAGAGTTGGCACGCCAAATGTGCTCCAAGGCTGCAAAATTTGCACGCGCCCTCAAAGTCAATTTAATAATATTCAATTGAAAATATGTGTAAATAAAAATCAATTGGCGCAAACCAAACGCATGCGAGCAAAGCAATTGGCTATTAACACGACTCCACGGCAGGGCAGCGGCAGCGGTAGGGGCAGCGGCAGCATCAGCAGCTGCTGTAGCCAAAACAAATCAATAAAATATTGATGGTGCCACTGTGTCGCGGCACGTCCTCCAAGAAATGCCCATAGTGCGTCATAAAGCAGCGCAGCATCGTAAGCGTGACATTAGCGGCGTCTCAGTCGCGCCGGCGCGCAAATCGCTAGCAACAAGAAAAAAACTCCAGAGACCTTTGACTCTGCTCTTGTCATCTAATATTAGCGTCGTCACTCACACATACAGAGAACCACAAACAAATCCATGTGTTGGCGCCTCAATTCATTCATGCCTTCTTTTCGACCTTCGCACTCTTTTCGCTCTCACAAATTTATTCAGTTTCCTTGCTCACTAGCCCAAGTAACGGCACGCACACACATATATCAGCATTTGCATATGTATATTGTAAATATGTGCACAGTGGGAGAGCAGTGACGCTCTCACTCTCTTGCCGTTGCTCACCGACAACCGCAAGAGTGCATGAAAGCTCGAACGAGTTTCTGTGAATTGGCGTGCGCTATATAAACGTTGCTCATTCCAATCTCGTGCTTCAGTGCCACAATAGTGGATATCACATTTAGTAGTTTGTTAAAAGGTAAAAAATAATCAGCTTTTCTGTCAAGCGAACAAGAAATAGCGAAACTATGCAAAATTACACGTTCGTTATCAACTATGTGTATATAATAAAAAATATTCAAAAATTGTCGTATTGATTCAACTGAAAAATAAGTTTATAAAAAAAACTATTTTAAGTATATAATTGTGAATATTATATATTGTTGCCAATCCATTGTACATAGTTATATTTCTTTGTGCTACAATTTCCGGTCGTACCCTTATCGAATGTTATGTGTCGTGTCGTTTTCTTTAAATTTTGAGCAAAACTCAGGCAATTTTTTAAATGCTACATTTAAAAACAAAGTCTTTGGTTTGTCTGGCAGCAAAAATTTATTAGCCAATCGCTATGTAAATTTATGCGCATTTCTTTCGCACTACGTCAATTCGCCAAAAATAATATATTAATGAGCCACCCTAATGCCCGGTCGGGTGTCTTAAGTTATTTAATGCAATAGTTTTACGTAATTTGTGTGGCGGAATGGTAAAATGACAATAAAGCAACAGCAGAAGAGTAAATTTGAAAAATTCCCAAAAAACCCCATCTACCAAGGCTAAAACAAACTAATTGAAAGAGAGGCAGCAACAATTACAACAACAATAATAATAAGCAAAAAGGAGCTAAATTTGCAAAATAGTCGAAACATTTTTGAGAACGTTCGACCGTGAAAATATTTTTAAATTTAGAATTTGTTTTTATCGCAATACAGAGAAAAACACGCTCACATAATTGTGCAAATAGATAGAGATAGATAGTTTTGATTTGTATGTATGTATTGTAGTGTATTTGCGTATTTTGAGAAAATATAAGCAAGCTTTTATATATTAAACTTCGTATTTTTTTGCAAATTTTAAATATGTCCCAGACGTCTAAACGTGGGCGATGTCAATTAAAGTTTTCGTCTGTAGCTCAGATTAATTGCCTCACATTAAACCGCAACTTGCGGCTCGACTTTGTTAATTAACAACAAAACACAGCCGCATTTAAAAATTAAAGGTTTTGTTTTAAAAATACATTGTCAAAAAACCAAAAAACATATATATATATACCTACATATATATGCCAAATCGAAATGCGCAACGTTGCACTGTTGACAGTAAGCCGTCACGGCAGACACAATTTGCACCTGTGTGTGGGCAATTGTGTGTATGTTTGTATGTATGTGACTGTTGTCGGAGAGCTTTATGACGCTTACAGCACGTGAGCACATATGTATAAGAGAAAATTGAATTTTAAGAGAGCACACACTGTGAGCTGCGCTTAAGAGCACAAAGTTAAGTACGACGCGTCGTTGACATGTAAATGTGTGAGTGAGTATGTGTTAGGAGGTACACATACTTATGTTTATGTTGTGCTGTGTTGTTGCTCGTTATCATGGTAGATCTTAATTAAATAGAGCACTTCGAGATAGGCAACCCCAGTAACTAATACATACATACATATATGTACATATATGTATTTAACGTGAATCATCAACAGCGGCACCTACACACATAGCGGCAACACCACTCACGCATTAATGCATTTATGAACGTTTCAAGGGCAGCAACACGATTTAAGGCGCATTTGCGAAAATAATGCAAGCTAAAAGCTACACATATACATACATGTGTATGTATGTGTACAGTGCAAGATGAAAGGCAATAATAGCTATTTTTGTTATGTCACTACTCGAATCAATAGAGGATAGTTAGAGAGAGATGAGAGAAATAAATAAATAGATGTCAGCAGCCATAAAGGCGTCGACGCTAGCGTCGCCGGCTGTCGCAGTCACCGGTCAAAGCGTCGACGTCATGGCGCCCACGCTTACCGTTAGCATCACATCACATGACGCAGGAGCAAATAAACTCGTATATAATTCTTTTTTAGCTTGCGCTGGCCCACAAAAATGATTATTATTTCTTTTTTTATTATAAACTTAAAAATAAACCGAAAAAATACATACATATGTATGTACATACATACACGAAAATGTCGCAAAGTCAAAGTCGAATGTGGAAAATTTTTGAAAATGAAAATATTGCCAATTGCCGCATGCCAGCTAAGAAAAAAACAGAATTCTTGAAAACATAAACAATATTTTTTTGTGAAAGTGAAAAAAGGCGCCAGCAAAGCAAAAGGAAGAGAAAAGAGAATTTGGCACGAGTGAAAGAAAATGTGTCATTTATATTATTAATAATAGCTAATAGAACAGTAGATATATTTTTTAAATATTTTTGACAAGTGCTTAAAACAGATTAGAAACATTGAGTGCCCATAGTAATGTCACACCCCAACTTAAGTAGATATACATTTTAATGAACATATACTTTTGCAAAGAACTGTATAATTGGTCACGCGTGCAGACTTGAGACCCACGTCGAAAATACGCACATACCTATATATATGTATTTATGTATCTAGACATACATACAGACCTTGTAGATATACAACAATTCACTTGAAAAGTGGGTGTGCACCTTATATCAGACCATATTTATATGGGAGGGGGCTCGCATTATCAATAAGCACACAGCTCCAAATATGTACATATCTGATAAACACCAGACATCTAAATCTAAATAGCATTTGCAAATATAAACCGTTATCTATTCCTTTGTTTTTACGCTAATTGAACTGGCCAAATTTTTGCTGGCGTCCAAGTGCAACAACTATAAATACCTATACACTGAGCGAAGAGAAGCTATAGTAATATATATACTAATAAAATAAGAAATATAAATATATAAAAAAAATTCAATTCAATATTTGCAATATATTAACTAAGATTTTTTCTTGAATCTAATTTGAGAAACTAGATCTATAAAAGCTTGATAAGTAAAATAAAGTCAAAGAAGCAATTCCTCTAATAATTCTAATACTAATTAAAATGTTATCTCAAGTGAAAATAATTTAAACTCAAAATGAAATTTGATCAAGATATCAATTAAATTGTAGAGCTTTTGGCCTGATTTGATTTGTTATTTTATTCCATTTCTCTCTTTGTAATCTGCCCTAAATACACATTTACTTATATTTCTATATAATTTTCAATTGTATTACTTATTTCTTTCTTTGCAGCAAAGACATAAATTCAAACACACACAGAAAGGAAAAAAAAAGACGTCGTTTACAATTTACAAACAAGAGTCTCTCTCCCAGCTGACAATCGTTATATAAACAAAGAGAAGACATTCAACTTTCCAAGGTCGAAGCGGAGAGTTCAAGTTCAACATTAGACACAATTTGATAAGATGAGCGGACGCGACAATCGAGGCGCCGGCGGGGGCGGAGGTGGAGGCCATCATCACCAGCCGCTGAGCAGCGCCATGGGCAAACTAAAGGAAAAACTAACCAGAGCCGGTGTAAGTATGCTAAACAACAAACAGCTAGAAATACATAAATACATGTATATATGCGGTCTCTGATAATATTTACTCACAGAGTCCGAAACGAATATTCGTGAAGGAACGATGGAATTGAAACATAATAAAGTATTACCATATATGTAGAGTGAATATATTATTGGGTAATATTCAGAGACGAGAAGACAGAGCAGGCGAAAAGAGTAGAATACCGAAGAATACTCATTGCAACTCTTATAAAGATTATATAGAATGATGAATGAAATTTGAACGTTACAATATTAGCGAAATACTTTCGATGCATATAATATAATGGTCTTACACAGCCATAATTTTCGAGCTATACGTTAGAATATAGCATTTTTAATAGTTAAATATAGTCAATTCAATGGAATATTTTAGAATAAATTTAACCAATTAAAATTATGTAGAGCTTATACACTGCTAATACTCCCAAATTATAATTCAAAATTAAAAGAATAGCTCAAGTACTTAGGAAAAACTAAATACACAATTTATAATCATGCTCCACTGTCTATAGACACCCATTATGCTCAAAGCTTAGCCGTGTTGCCGACAGAGATTGAAAGAGTCTGGAATATGTGGAATTGCTGTCAGAGCAGAAGGCAGGAGATAAGATTCGACAACCTTTGGCTTTGATTTCAAGAACAACTCTCTGTAGTAATCGTCGAGCCGAGCGCCTATATAAAAACCAGAAAAAGCCGGGGCACGACTCACTAATTCGCAATTGAAAGCTTAAGCATAAGCTTGACGAATTTAAATTTCGGATTTTCATAAATTTCATTCTTTGCATATTCGGCAGGAGGAGCTGGGCTATCATCGCGTGGAGAGCAATCTGTCGGCATCGAATACGGGCACCAGTCTGGACACAATATTGCCAGAGGATCCGTTTCCATTTCCCCAGGCAGCGCCACAGCGTCATCCGCAGCAGCAGTTTCCCCACTTGCATCCAGTGCAACAGCAGCTGAGACAGCCACAGCAACAGCTACAACAACAACAACAACAACAGCAGCAGCAGCAGCAGCAGCAACCACAACAACAGCAACAGCTGAGACTGTTGCACGACGTGGACGACGAGCCGCCGCTCTCATTCCGTCCGCTGCTCGAGGACGACGACATCAACGAGCCACCACAAGAGATCCAGCAGCAGAGATCAGCCCTGCGTTCGAGTGGCAGCTTGGAGCTAACGCCTCTGCCCCCACCGCCCACATCACTGGAGCCGCATCGTGATCGCCAGCAGCGCAGCATTGTGACTGGGGGGGAGGAGCTGCAGCGCAGCAAGCAATCGCTGAAGGGCTCGCGCGTCTCCTTCGAGAAGCCGCAGCAGCAGGGCAACAGCAAGGCCGCGGAGAGCAGCGACGAGGATAGCTTCGAGGATAAGCGCATCGGGTTCCAGCAGCAGAAGGCGACCAGCGTGGACCACAAGGGCATACTCAAGGATTTGCGTCATATATTGGCCAACGACAATCGTCGTCAGTTCCAGGCGAAGAAGCACGTCTCGCTTGACATCAAGGGCACACGATTTCTGCAGGATCTGCTCAAGGACTCATCGTCCGAGGAGGAGTTCCATAAGACGCGTCGCGAGTTCCAGGGGCGCAAACATCAGAGTCTCGATCCACGGGTCACCTTCAAGCTCGACAAAGTATTACAGGGCTCCAGCACCGACAGTGATGAGGAGGGCGACGACGCCGAGCACAAGCGCCTAATACATCGTCCCAAGGACATTACCAAGCCAGTCATTATCGACCTGAAGGATCTGGAAAGCGAAAGCGACGAGGATTTTCTCACCTCGCGACAGAATTTCCAGCAGCAGCGCTCCATTAGCACAGATTCACGCAAGAGGTGAGTGAAATGCCATATTCCTGATTTCCAAATTCCCACATCGGATCTCCGAATCCTGATCAGCAAATACTGATTTATTATTCGCAATCCCTGGCTTCCAATTCTCTGTTCACGTGATCGCTGACAGCGAATCAGAGATTCGCACCCCACAATCCTCGATTCACAAGCCCCAATTTCCAATCTCTCAACTTGCGTTCTAAGATGACGCAATTCTATTATATTTAATTCATTGTTTGATTTGACTGTGAAACGCAATTTCTTTTTTTTTTTTTATTATTTACAGCCGTCGACCGTACGAAATGGACGAGATGGGCAATAAACGGGGGGACAACATACGCCATGCTGTGCCCTTTGTCCGACAGATCACCGAGGATGGCAAGCCCAAGCTGGAGGTCTACAGGCCCACAACGAATCCCATCTATATATGGACACAGGTAGGTCAAACGAATGACGACAGCGCTCTCTCAGATTGATAAGTGACTATGGCCAAACTATGACGTTTATACGAACTGTCTGTCTGCTCTAGATAGGGAATGATGAGAACGCAAGCTAAAAGAGATATAATGAGATGACTGTGAAGTCAAGTATTTATATACATATATGAGAGCCTAAAGAGTTGAAGTATTAAGAGTCTACGCACTATCTAGTAATCCCATGCGTAATACCCCATTTTGTCCGATCAAAATCTATTCAGATTAGTCAAGAGTAACACGGCATAAACACGATCGTAGTCGGCCTATTGTTGGATCGTTAAGCGTCGACTGCTGACACTGCTAAACTGGCGCCTATAATGGAGCACTCGACTCCGGCGTGTGACTGTACACGAGTGGGCGACGATGAAGGAGAGAGTGATGTGATGTGATGTGTGGCTCGGGTATGGCCTTATGAATGGCATTAATATCGCCATAAAGCATTCGGGCATTCAATTTAGCGCTTCGTTTGTGGGTCGCCATTGGCGAAGCGCGTGGCGGGCTATTTTCGCACGCCCGGATTGGACTAGCCCCCTCCATAAAGCGATGTCTTTAATTGAAATTGAAACTGAAATAACGCAGTTAGTTAGTTATGCGAGACTAAAAATACAAGCCAGCGCCTCAATGATAACTGAATGAATGGTCGCTTGGATAGACCTGTCAGCTGTATCTTATAGGCCCTCTGCTTACCCCCTTTCAATCATGATTGAGCTGCAACTGCTAGTGCTGCTTCTGCTTCTGATGGCCAAATGTGCGCTTAGCTCAGTTGCATTCCGCATTTTAGTCGCAGCACGTCGCAAGACGCGAAACCGAAACCGAAACCGATTCAAACCGACTCAAGGGACAGTCTTGGGCCTTATCGCGATTATTTGGTGAAGAGGCACACGTAAACAGCGTGATAAGCGAATGACAACAGCTGTGGCTGATGCTCTAGCCGAAGCTCGTCTCAATTGTGCTCGGAGACATCATAATCAATTATTGGGCTTTAGCTCTCATGAAATGCCTATTGATAAGACGCTCATCAGTCTATAATACCAGCTGGTGTAAAATACTTATATATATATATATAGTTGTACATAAATTTATTTATACATACATACATACATGTATGTATGTATATATGCAGTTTATGTACGTGACCGAGCGAATCGTACTTAACATCTAACGGCCTAGCTTGCATTCGAGTCGAGTTCCAAGTGACAGGTTTTTAGATTCAGTTGAGTTTCATCCGTCCGGCAATGCATTAGAAGCGTCCGCTGAACGCTCTATAGAGTTAGCAAGGCTTCGAAAGTGCAAAGTGAAAGGCGGTAGTGCAACAAGGTTGCAACAGGCAACAGGCAACAGACAATAGACCATAGACAATACAAACTCATTTCGAATCGAATCGAGTCACAGTGCTATTCAGTGTTTGATCCATCATGAAGATCCTTATGCGCGCGGACACCCACGTGTCCTTCTCGGTGCCCATCGATGAGCCCAAGGCCAAGTGCACCTACTCTCAGGTTAATCTCGGCTTTAATGTCACCCATATCTATAAATAGTTTATTTACATATACATATCATCATCAACTCTTCTTATATAATAATTTCAGGTGCTTGCTGCGCTGAGTGTTTCGCTAGGCTCCTTGGTCGTGGGCTTTGCCAGCGCCTATACCTCGCCCGCTTTGGTCTCCATGACAAACGCCAATCTGACGTCCTTTGTTGTCACGCCCCAAGCGGTAAGTTTGACAATAAATCCGATAAATTAGGCTAAGAATAATAATATTCAGTAAATTGTTCCTTGTTCTCGCTGATTTCGACTTCCGCTTTCAAATTCCCACAACGACTTTCCGATCTCTAATTAGAAAATATATATGTATATTAATCAATGATTCCTAAACTGAAATTCTTTAACGTCCAGTTCTCTGTGTCATAGAGATAAGCTCTTTAATCACATTTAAGTTAAAATCAGTTAGAAAACATTCAACTTTATGATACTGTTTCAAGTATTAAAAGTAAATAAGCATGATTTATTATCCATAGCTGGTAGGCTCTTAAAATCTGTGCATCAAGTTTCAAGTACTTTCAATCAATCCATAAACTTTCAACTTCAGTAACATTGCTATGCTCAATGAAATTCATAAATCTATTTGGAGCATTCATATTAATATTAAAATTGTCATAAAGTTAAATGGAGAATGAAACCAGCTAACCTTCGCAATGGCTAACATTCTAGACCCCGGGCTGTATCTGCAGTTCCTGAACTATTTGCAAATGTAGATATGTTGTTCTTATGAAAAGTCTCAGCAGAAAATAGCTGAATTTCATATTGTGATTGTAATATTTTCGAAAGTGATCAAGCTTTAAATTAAACTCCTAAATATGATATCCTTATCCTAGTCTAATATCAGGAAAATCATTGAATTGAAGAGTCTATCCCCTATATTTAAGCTAGTTCCTAATCCGTTGCACTCCCATTTCTCTGGATTGCAGGCATCCTGGGTCGGTGGCATCATGCCGCTCGCTGGTCTGGCCGGTGGCATCGCTGGCGGTCCGTTCATAGAGTATCTGGGCCGGCGTAATACGATCCTGGCCACAGCTGTGCCGTTCATCATTTCGTGGCTGCTGATCGCCTGTGCTGTCAATGTGGTGATGGTGCTTTGTGGACGCTTCTTGGCCGGCTTCTGTGTGGGCATTGCATCGCTCTCGCTGCCCGTTTATCTGGGCGAAACGGTTCAGCCGGAGGTGCGCGGCACGCTGGGTCTGTTGCCCACGGCGTTTGGTAATATTGGCATATTGCTGTGCTTTGTGGCCGGCACCTATATGGACTGGTCGATGCTGGCCTTCCTGGGCGGCGCGCTGCCAGTTCCATTCCTCATACTGATGTTCCTCATCCCGGAGACGCCGCGCTGGTATGTCAGCCGTGGCCGCGAGGAGCGGGCACGCAAGGCGCTCGTCTGGCTGCGCGGCAAGGAGGCCGATGTCGAGCCGGAGCTGAAGGGCTTGATGCGCTCCCAGGCGGATGCCGACAGACAGGCGACTCAGAACACAATGCTGGAGCTCCTCAAGCGCAGCAATTTGAAGCCTCTGTCCATATCGCTGGGCCTGATGTTCTTCCAGCAGTTGAGCGGCATCAATGCCGTCATTTTCTACACTGTGCAAATCTTTCAAGATGCTGGCTCCACCATCGACGGCAATGTGTGCACCATCATTGTGGGCGTGGTCAACTTTATGGCTACGTTCATAGCAACGGTGCTGATCGATCGCGCTGGCCGAAAGGTGAGTTGAGCAGGAAAATTTTAATTATTCAGCAGATAAATCTTTATCTCTCTCTCGTTTTTCTAGATTCTGTTGTATGTCTCCAATGTGGCCATGATCCTGACGCTGTTTGTGCTCGGCGGCTTCTTCTATTGCAAGTCCACGGGCATGGATACCTCGAATGTGGGCTGGCTGCCGCTGAGTTGCTTTGTCGTTTACATTTTGGGCTTCTCGCTGGGCTTCGGACCCATCCCATGGCTAATGATGGGCGAGATTTTGCCGGCCAAGATACGCGGCTCCGCGGCCTCAGTGGCCACCGCCTTCAACTGGTCCTGCACGTTTGTGGTGACCAAGTCCTTCCAGGATATGATAGGTAAGCCGCACAGCCAAGGGATATTCCGGGAATGGTTACTAAACTATCTGAATTTATAGATGTTATGGGCGCACATGGTGCCTTTTGGATGTTTGGCGCCATCTGCTTCGTTGGCCTGTTCTTTGTGATATTCTATGTGCCCGAGACGCAGGGCAAGACGCTGGAGGATATTGAGCGCAAGATGATGGGACGCGTCCGTCGCATGTCCTCGGTTGCGAATATTAAGCCATTGTCCTTCAACATGTAATTCTGATTGGTGGCATACGGAATGTGAAGGATCATTGAAGCGATCAAACCAAATATTAGTCTAGTGCCTTAGTGCTTAAGTTGTATAACAATGACGTCATCGATAACATCGATAATTGGAGCTGGCGTCGATTGTCGATTGAGCGTGGCTTTATTTTTATTTAGCAAAAGAATTTCCTTTATTGTTATTATTATTATTATTATTTATATCGTCGCTAAGTCGCATTAGTTTCTATGATGCTGTAAATTATGAATTATGATGCTGCTAATCATCGATAAATCTCTGTAGAAAATGACATAAGTAGTTGATAAGCCTAACAAAAAAGCCAAGTTAATCACCATCCCACTACTATTGTAATCCCTATCCCCCACCTCTAAACAAGTTCAATCTAATTGGCTATTCGAATATATCTAAAGAAGAAACAAAAAGCAAAAGCAACATGTAAAAGAATATAAGAATCTTATTTAGATAATAGGATGATAATGTATAACTTACATTTAATGAATATATAATTACAAACAAATCAAATTAACTTCTTCCTCTTTTCTTTCGAATGAGCTCAGCACGAACCCCTCTGGGAATCAAAGAAGGTGCGACTATGCTAAAAAAAAAAACTATTTTTAAAGCAATATCAAATATTTGCATGCGACCTTCGAATCGCAATTTACAGTTTTACAATGTCGATCGCAAATACGTGAGCATTGTAACTTGCATATGTACATACGTAAATATATGTATATATAAATTTATATACCGATTCCCATTCTAGAATGCACCATATATGCATTCACATACATATAGATGGGGTGCACACGAGGTGCATATGAATATATATAGGTATATACACATATTTAACGTAATCAGAGCTAGACTCTATGTAACTGACGTTCACAGAATATTGGACGTATACAAAGTCTTTGATAATCAACCAGTTCGACTCTATCTACGGCTTATCGCTGATGTTACGGGCGCATAATCAAATCCAATTTATAGAGCAAAATTTATGGCGTTGCATTTATTGGATGACTGCTGAGATTACGAATCTATTTTATAATATAAATCAAAGCAGGGCAACAGTAAAAACAATCAAAATAATACAAAAATAGACGTTCTTACTGCAAAATCAATAAATAAATAAATTGCATAAGCAATCGTGTTTCCCTTTATGAATGTTCAAATATATACATATAAACATTTGTAAATTCCTTAGCTCATGTAATCATTGAAATATAAGAATATTGATTTTAATAATCGATCTAAACTATAAGATACACTGATGAAAAAATAGTTGCTCTTGATATTTGCATAGGCTTTTAGAGGCAATATAGAATGGAGTTGACAAATTGTTTGTCTTCGGTGGTGACTCTTTTACTATGGAAGAACTAGTTCCTTTGTTTATCCCCATATTGTAGAAAATTAACTTAAAGTTTCTGATCAACTTCTTTTCAGTTATTTGAATAGGCAACTGAATCAGATGTATAAGATTTTATCACAGATATTTCTGTATCTTTGGCTGATATATAAAGAGTGAGCATGACTAACTAGACTTGAGAATCCAGAAAATTCTTCTTCATAATCATATCATAAGAAATATAAGTTCTTGGAATGGTTACGAATTAGTTAATACTACGTAAGGGAACATTCGTGCGTAGTGCCAGAAGATAATTTTTAAAATATATATATTTTACAAGATTTAACTATTGCCGACGCTTACACTTAATCTTTAACGTATGCAAGTGCCATTGACTAGATGAGAGTAGAGTCCAGCTTGAATTCAATCCAATCAATTCATATAACTTGGTATATATGTATACAGAATACCTAGAAACTAAGAATTCGGTAGTACTATATCGAATATCAAAGATCTTATATCTTGTTAAGGTCGTTCCATATGAAATCCATATAAAATGTTTCATATTTAAAATATTTTATACAGGGACACATCTTCAGAGCTTGGATTTGAGTCTCTTTGGAAAAGGGAGAAGCACTGCAAGATTTTCAAGTCAGTTAATATGGCCGGCTAAAGAAATATCAGTTTCGGGATCTTAACACTTTCATTCCTCATAGAAACCCTCATCTTGCCAATGAGCCCCTTCTCAATTTCGAGTCCAGTTGAATTTGCTCGTTGCGTAGCTGCTGCATTTGCTTACAGTACCGTAGCACTTCAGCATTTTGTGCTCTGCTTTTGTAAATCAGATGTGCATATGTAGTACATAGTAACTGGAAAAATCTAGTCCGACTTACCCATGACTTGAACGCGGCAAATGGCGCAGATGTCGCATTCGACGTCCCAGCTCCACATTGCAACTGCATTCCATTTCTTCAGCGTGAACATTTTCTCTGGCTTGCTGTCGTCTGTTGGCTTGTTATCCACTGAGTTTTCACCATCATCGGCCATTTCTTCACATACACACACATATACACATACACAAAGTATTTATAATAAATTTATTAATTTGTTTTCAATACGAAATGTGAATGCTACTCTTCTTCTTCTACATCTACAATGACTTTAACAGCTGATGGGCGAGTGTAAACGACAACGCACGATCCACAACATCCACAAGGGGTACACCCTGTGTTTAAATGGGAAACAGCTGGGTTTGCCACAGGGTGCTTACCGCTAAGGCGCACAATTCAAATTGTTGAGCAATTGCAGCGTTGCGCAAGATTTTGTATTTTAATTGCAATTTCGAGTGCTTTAACATTTCGCAAGACAATGGTAATGTAGCAATTTGGCCACATGAGATATCACGATACCGTTACCAAAAACGAGGCCAAAAACTTTGATTTTGTTGGGTTTCAGCAGGTGGCGCAGCTTCAATTACCAATAAAAATAAAATGCGGCATGCTTAAACAAAGTAAAGACAGGTCTTACCTTACAAGCAAATGTGATATCTATGCATGTGTGTGTGTGTGTATGCAAGTGAGTATCTATGTTAATGCAGCACTCAAAAATTTTCGAACGTCTTATGACAAGGCAGTTAAAGAAAACAAAGTAAAGCAACAACAGCAATAACAGCTACAGCAACAGCAACAGCAACAAAATTGCGAAAATTTACAATTGCCAAGTGATTGGCCAGACAGATTTTGTTAATTCGAGTGTATGAAGCTACACTTCCTGTAATTAATTTCAGTGATGCAATCGCTTGCATAACCAACTGGCCAAGAATACACAATGAAATTGCAGAAACAACTACAAGCCGACAACAAAAACAACAACGAAAACAACAACAGCAACAATGCTGACTAACTGCTAACTGGTTTTTCTTTCAATTTTCCGTTTTCCGTCTTCATTTGTGTTACGCTGTGAGCTTTGTGGGTCGCCGACTTTTTGCTTTTCACTTTCACTTAAATGGCAAGCGGCCCATTTCCCACTTCGTTCCGCCCAATTAATGGATTTGGCTTTTGATTTTGTTTTTGTTTTTTTTTTTTCTTTCTTTTTTCAGTGTTTCTTTTGCTTATAATTTAAATAAAAAACTAAAACAATGATACAAATAAAAGTATAACACATTTGGCTTAAAAACATATGCGAATTTCGCTAAACGAAATTCGCCAGATCTCATGTTGTTGTTGTTGTTTTTGCCAAGTAGCCAGCTAATCAGTTTTGTCCTCTGTGCTGTTACTTGTACTACTCCTCCTCCTGCTCTGTTTCCACTCCTCCTTGTGTTTATCACCCGTTCAACGTCCAGCTCAACGTTGCGACAAAGACTCTCTGCCATTGTCCTTGTGTCTTCTCTAACATATTCCATTTTCTCGTCGTTCTTCTTCTTGTTGTTCTTGCGTTGTTGTTGTTCGTATACTCCTTGTGCTCGCGTTCTGTGGTGGCCGCAATGCCACGCTCTATTGTTAGTTTCCATGTTTAGTAGTGACCATGATGACCATGATGGCTATGATGATCCTCGTGGTGCTTGAAGATCGGCACCTCGACGTGGTACTTCTCTGGTACGGGAATTTCCTTGTGAATGGGCACCTTCACCTCCGTGTAGACGGGAATGGGCTTCTCAATGGGCACCTTCACCTCATACGGCACGGGCTTCTCGACGGTGTACGGCACCTTCTTCTCAACGGTGTAGGGCTGTGGCACGGGCACCTTAACGTGCACGGGATATGGTTTCTCCACCTGGAAGAACAAGAACAAATTATAGAACCAAAAATTAGATTGTAAATTGGGGAAGATGTAGTAGCGCTCTCTGGATAACTTACCTCAACCTTGTAGGGCTTGTCGACGGGCACCTTCACCTCGTAGGGCACCTTCTTTTCGACAACGACTGTGTACGGTTTCTCGACCTCAACATCGTAGGGCTTCTCAACCTCCACTTTATAGGGTTTCTCGACCTCTACTTTAACCTCGTACGGCACCTTCTTGATCACTTCGTAGGGCTTGGGCACTGGCACTTCCACTTTCACCTCATGTGGCACCTTCTTGATCACCTCGTAGGGCTGTGGCACTGGCACCTTGACCTCATAGGGAATCTTCTTGATCACTTCATAGGGCTCTGGTACAGGGACTTTCACTTCGTATGGCTTGTCGACGGGCACTTTCACCTCATATGGGACTTTCTTCTCCACAATGTAGGGCTTGGGCACATGGACGGGATACTTGACGTATTCCTTAACATGCACTGGATATTTCTTCTCTACAATGTAAGGCTGTGGCACATCGACTTTCACCTCGTAGGGAATCTAGTGAATCGTGCGAATCCATGAAGAAACAAACTCTTTCTGTTTGGATCACACCGTCTTACCTTCTTCTCAACCGTATAGGGTACATGCTTGGTCACAGTGTAGGGCACCGGCACCTTCTTCTCAATGGTCACTGTCTTGATGTGTTCATGATGGTGATGATGATAGTCACCGAAATGGAGGCCACGCTTCTCCACCGTCTTGCCAGCATCCTCAGCCTGGCTGCCTTCTTCAGCCTTCTTCTCTTCGATGGCCGCACAATGGGCCATTGCCACGCACACGGCGAGACAAGGAAAAACGAACTGCAAAGGATATCCACACACACACATATATATATTTAGAATACTCCTGAGCACTCCTTAAACGGATCACAGCTAACGAGCCTTCCTTTACCATTCGCATTGTTGAGCTGTTGCTTTGACGTCTCACGAGGAAAACCAATTACTCCACAATAAACTGTGTTATACCAATAACGAGATCCCAGTTGGTACTGATTCGCTGACTCGCTGCACTCGGCTTTTATACACACCAAAAAATTGGTCTATCGCAACGCAATTCACTAAGCCCCTAGCCCCCGCTTCGCTCCGCCTCGCTCCGATCGCCCGATCTCCGATCAGCGACCAACGACTACGACAACAACTTTTAAGCTGCGGCACATTCGCAACTTGAAGCGTTTGTTGTCGTTGTCGTTGTTATTGTTGTTTCTGTTGGATTTGGCTTAGTAATGAACTGTTGAGGGGAACTGTGTGTTATATGAGCAACAACTTGTTTCTCATATATCGAATGGCGTCCATCCCGTTGGCCAAGTCAGGAGCTATGCTTGATGTGTTGCAGCGCTGTCTTCGGGTCGTTATCCTATAACAATAGCTAGGAAATCGTTACAAAGACCCAGAAAACTGAATGCAAATAAATATACATATATACATACACACAAATACACACATACATCCATATTAACAATATGAATTAAGCTAGTTGTAACTCCAGTTATAGGCTTTATGTAATGCCAAAAGCCACCAGACATTGACATCGCTCTGATTCCGTTTCGTTTCGTCTCGTTCCGTTCCCAATTTCGTGGAGCCTGCGTAAATGGGATACGCTCAGGGGCATATCAATAGACGCACGCTGATATCACAGTTGGATTATGTAAATCGAACGGCGATTGCATTTGTTTTCTATTCCATTGACACGCCGCCAACAAATTGTGTGTGTGGTAAGTGGCAAAGGGGCCAACAATGAAGAAGGTTAAACCAAATGCAGACGACATTTGATAGCCCATACATCATAATTTGTTTACGCCTTATCCCCTTTTATGTTGTCTGCTCGCTCTTTGTCACACTTAGAGCTCTTTTATTGGCATTGAGTCGTAAATCTGTCCAAAAGAGACTCCTATTGATCGGGGAGTTTTTATGTTAGGCCCTTAACACATTACCATTCATTTCGTCAACTTGTTATTTTTATTATATACATTAAAAAACGGAATTGCTGTTTATTCACATTCAACAGTTAAAGAAAACATTTTACTTTGACTAATTATAATTACAGGTTTTTAATATATACACATATTACATACTTAAACCAAAATGTCATTTGCAAACTTTGCAAGTTTGCTAGATAAAATTTCATGAATATTCAATGCAGACTTATTAATTAACGCTCTTAGTTAAATTCCAAGCATTTATTAAGGTATTACAGGTGTATTAATTTTCTTTATGCTTTAATATATATTTTAAATAATTATTTATTTGTTTCACTCATTAATAATATTATATCTATTTAAAATTTCAAAGAATAGAATAAATATTTTAAATTTTAAATTTTGAATAATATAAAAATAAAATATCTATTTCTATCTAACATTTAAGTCCTTTCAGATTTACTTTTAGCTGCTGTTTCTGGTTTCCGGGTTCAATGTGGTTCGGTTCAAAAACCATTTTTTTATTTTCAGCCTTGATTGGGTCCAAACATGCCAACAGAGCCAACAACAATTTGGAGACTTGACTCGATGTGGCACGATTCGTGATTGCAGCCTGTAGGAGCTAACAGCGTGACTGTACACACACATGATCATACATACATACATATGTATGCATGCATATATGCAGATGTGTGTGTGTGTTGGGTTTTGTTTGTGCAATAAGAGTCATTAAATTGAATAGATACCCAGGTACCCCTGTCTATTTTGCTATTTTGGCCTGCTGCGGCTGCTTAATGTGCGCTTTAAACTAAAACAAAGCCCAAAATTAAACATACATATGTACAGGCACATACACATACAGACGCACACACTGAGAGACAGACATTCGCTGAGTAACATTAGCAATGTATTAAACAACAATAAAACATAAAACATTTTTTTATTTTCGAAACTCGCTATGGACGCGGAAGACAGTCTACGAGGAGAGTAGGAGAGAGAGAGAGCGAGAGAGGGGACATGCGGAACGATGGGAGAGGTGGAACAACGGGAGAGGGGGGACGACACACACATAAACATTTACATGCCTATTCTATTTCAACATGCACTCGAGCGCTACATTTCGCGCACTAATTGCCCATTATTGCGTTTCTAATTATGAATTAGAGTTAACTATTTGTGTTACAACAATTCTCGTCGCATATTTACAGCTATACAGCTAACAAGATTTTAGATATAATGAGCAGATATATTTCTTGTATGCATATGCAACAAAATTACTATGGTCAATGACCTTCGTGTTGATTGTGAGTGCCTCTCCCTTTGGAAAAGTCTATTTTTGTATGATGCTTATGAAAAGCTGAAGTGTGTAATAAAAGGGCCGGCTGCCCGTTGCTCGACGCCAGTTGCCACACGTTACCGCACCTTGACCTAGTAATTGAATTTCTTATTTGGCAACAAACGAAATAAGTAATAGTTAATTAGTTCATTTAACAAAGAGATTGTCTAGCTCTTTACTTCAGTTTATTTAATGCCTTCAAGAGGCATCACTAAATCAGTCTTAGGCGATCGTAAAAAGATTGTTGCCAACATCTTTGTCACAAGTCCTTGAAATTGTCAGAAATGAAACTGAACTGGTCAAAATTTACATATTTACGATGTTTTTAAATTATGTTGAGCATATTTATTGAAACTCACATTTAAATATGAACATCAACTAGTAAATCAGTTTATTTACCTGTATGCGTGCAACAGTTTTTCGCTTTAATTTCAATTTAATGCACCGGATCAACAGAAAACTGGATATGAAAGGGAAATCAATCAAAACTTTTTTCACTTTTTTTAATGCGAAACTGAAGTTACTACTTATTATATAATTACATACACACTTAAACTGCAATATTTGCCAAGTCTTTTACGATCAATTAAATATAAATATGATCAATTAAAGTGACGTGCATACATACGCAACAAGTTTTATTTGCATGAATAATGAGGCATTTTAAATTCCGGCGCCAAGGCAAACTACAGTGTGACCGTTTGCAATGTGCCAACTGATTCTGTTATGCAGCACTGTTCACTGTTGGCATTAGCAGCACTACTCGCGCTGTCATTTTATACGCAAGTCATTTCGGCATCAAAGTGACTCCGGCATTTGGAAATTGATTTGTTTGTCGTTTCAGAGGCAGTTTAAAAAGTAAGCCACATTTATTCATTCAATTATATGTCGATTATCAATGATAATTTATTATCTGAATTGCAGATAAAACTATAGTCATGTTTCTAACACGCTCTGAGTACGATCGTGGTGTAAACACCTTCTCTCCCGAGGGCCGCCTCTTTCAAGTCGAGTATGCCATTGAGGCTATCAAATTGGGCTCCACTGCCATTGGCATTTGCACAAAAGACAGTAAGTATTGTGAGAATTTGTATTAATAACGTCAAATTTACTATTCGCAAGCATTGTGCAGGCGTTGTATTGGCCGTTGAGAAGCGCATCACTTCGCCAATGATGGTGCCGAAGACCGTGGAAAAGATTGTTAAGGTTGATGACCACATTGGCTGCGCCACATCTGGACTAATGGCCGATGCGCGCACCTTGATCGAACGAGCACGCGTCGAATGCCAGAATCATTGGTTCGTGTACAATGAAGCGATGACTGTGGAATCGTGCGCCCAGGCAGTGTCCACATTGGCCATACAGTTCGGTGACAGTGGCGACGGTGATGGAGCCTCCGCAATGAGTCGTCCATTTGGTGTGGCCATACTCTTCGCTGGCATCGAGAACGGCGAGCCCCAGCTCTGGCACATGGATCCCTCCGGTACATACATACGCTACAGCGCCAAGGCGATTGGCTCCGGCAGCGAGGGCGCCCAACAGAATCTGCAGGACAAATACACGCCAGAGATGACACTGAACGATGCCATCACCCTGTGCTTAAACACCCTGAAACAGGTCATGGAGGAGAAGCTTAACGAGACCAATGTCGAGCTAATGACCATGACAACAACAAAAACAGATTTCACTATGATGGCCGAGGATGAAGTGAAGCGGCTTATTGAAAATCTGGCCTAATTGCATTTGCAACTGCATTATTTTATACACACTGCAACATTTTGGTTATCAGACTATTTGTGAATAAAGGGATTCTAAATCGATTCACTTCCGCATTAGTGTTATATTAGTGAAACACAAATCAGGATTTATCTTTTTATATACAGTTGACTTTATTTATACGTATTGATTTACTTTGTGTATGCTAACTAAAGTATTTGAGGGAACCCGTTTGGGCGGCCCCAAAGGCCCCCCTACAATGCATTTATGTATAAATATGTATATATATATATATGCTAGACATGAACTGTTGAGCAAATCAAACAGCTTCGATTAACTTGGTTAATCGCATTGTAAAGGCAAATCATATAGAATTTTCATTAATATTCTTTTCTAGCGTTTTTCTACGATGCACAGACTTTGATTTTTGTGTGTGTAATCAATTAAATACTTTTGTTTATAAATGAAAAACACAATTTCATAATGCAAATCAAGGCTCGTATGCATAAATCTAAATATATATATATATATCAGGCTAATGGGGGCATGTGAGTACAAAAGGATATGAAGGATAAGTCGACAAATACCAAAAATGAACAAAATTGTATATACTTATCAATACGAGTATGCATATATCTATGTATGTATATATATGTACGCATTTATGCATATACATACATAAATATATAGAGCATTCACAATTGTTTACATCACACCTAAGTTTGATGTTCCCCACCACTGGGGCTATTGGTGTTTGTGTTGTTGCTGTTGCTGTTGCAGTTGGTGTTGGTGTTGTTGTTGGTGTTTGTATTGCTGCTGCTGTTGTTGCGCAGCATAAGCCGAGAGAGGCTCGTGTTGGGCTCGCTGAGCGAGTAGATTTCCGGCTCAAAGACGGGCGGACACTCCATATTTGGATAGTCCGGTGTGGCGGCCTTTGAATCGACTGAATTGGCATTCGATACTTTTGGCGTTGCTGGCTGATCCATTGCAACATCTTCCCTTATTGTTGTGGCACCACCACCAGCCGTAGCAGTAGCAGCTGCTGGCGCAGTAGCCGCTGCTGTTGCTGCTGATATTGGTGGCGGCGGAGCTGGTGGCAACGGCGGCAACAAGGATTCGGATGCACACAAATTCGTATTGGATGCAGCCGTAAAACGATAACTACGCTGACTACTTTGCGTTGGGAATATGACCTGAGAGAATATCTCTTGATCACCATCCGCATCCAAGTCGGCGCTGCTGGGCGTCTGCTGATTCAGCTGCTGCTGCTGCTGCAGCTGTTGATGTTGCTGTTGCTGTTGCTGGTGGTGGCTGAACAGCGTCCGATGCAGCAGCGGTGAGCCAAGAAATCGATTCTCCTTCGAGGGTCGTGTTGGCGTCGCACTGGCGCCGGATGAGGATGATATGGCCAGCTTGGAGAAGATGGGTATGGGCGCCGAGTTCTTGCGATGCGCATCGTATTTAGTGCCCACCACCTTGTCCCGCAGATCCTGATTGTACGTTTGGCTTTTCTTGATGTTGCTGCTGCTGCTGCTGGCGTTGCCCGCGCCGCTGATGTTGCCGCCATCGATCGCATGATTCGACTTGGACTTTTTGTTTAGCGGCAGCGTCATCGTCATGTGCGTGAACGGAAAGCGTCTGTCACTGCTGATGCTGCTGCTGCTGGACTTGCTTTTGCTCTTCTTGCTGCTACTGGCGTTGCTCGACTGGGAGCCCACGTCGCCGTGATCGTGCTGGTGCTGCTTCTTGCTGCTCATGTGCAGAAAGCTGGACAGCTGCTGCGAGCGTAGAAAATACTTGGACCTTTGTGGCTGCTGCTGTTGCTGATGTTTCTCTTGCTGTTGCTGCAGCATCAGCTGTCTCTCGTGCTCATTGCAGCTGGTCTGCCTGGAGACACTGGCGCTGCTGCTGCTGTTGTTGTTATTGTTGCTGCTGCTGCTGCTCGTCGCCGGCTCATCGCCAAAGATGAGCTCGTAGCCAAAGTCACGCAGCTTCTGGCCCTCCTTCGTGCGCGTGCGCTTAATACTCTCGTCTTCCGGCTTAAAGCTAAACTCATAGTCCGGCGTCTTGGGCAAACTCAAGCTTTGTATCTTTGCCGGCTTCTCGCCACTCCCATTGACCACTGGCTTCGCAGCCGTTGCTGGCGGAGCAGTTGCTCCCGCTGCCGTTTGCTGGCTCGCATTGGAGTCGGTGCGCAAGTGCCGGTTGTGCTTCTCGACGCCGAGATGCACGCGATTATTGTACATTTCCTGCGATTCCTCGAGCTGCTTACGCAGCATCAGATCCTTCAGCGTCATATAGCCCTGTATGTTGTTCGTCTGATGGTGCGGATCCAAGGTGCCGTCTCCGCCCACCTTCTTCGTCATGAACGTTTTCGTATGCGAGTGATGGTACTCGAAGACCTCCAAATTCGGATTCGAGGCGTGCAGATAATGGTAGGGCACCTTCTTCAGGCTCGACTTGCTGCTCGGACTCTGACTCTGGCTGGGACTCTGGCTCTGGCTCTGGCTAGGACTGGGGCTGTTGCTCTCGTCGTAGCTCTGCTGCTGCTGCAGCGAGTTGACCGTGGGCGCTGGTGAATTGGGCGGACCCAGGCTAGCCGAAGCAGCGCTCACTACCGAGCTGCGACTGGAGCTGCGCGACAGTTTGCGCGGCAACGATGCTGTCGGCGGCAGCTCCGGCTTGGCTGTGGGCGTGGGCGGCTGTGCCGGATCATGATAGCCGGGAGTATTGGCGCCTATCTGAATGCCACAACTGCCGCCGGGCACCTTGCGAAACGTTTGAAAGTTCGCCGTCGGCACGGGTATATCACTCGAGTTATTCTTGGCCGCGTTGCTCTTGAACGTGCCCATTGTGAATTTGCGCAGCGAGTCGAAGTAGCCGCGATCGTGCTTCATGCTGTTGTTGCTGCTCAGGCTGCTGGTGGGCGTGGCACTGCCGCTGGCTGCCAGTGTGGCGACCACATCCTTAGACGCCTGCGGCGACGGTGTGCATAGATTTGTGCTTATGAGCGCATCGCTCTCCTCCTCCCCAGAGCTCTCATTCTCCGAGTACAGATCCTTGCTGCTGCACGTCTCGTTGCTGACCGCTGGCAGCTTGAGCGAGGCGAGCCGCAGAAACTCCACCCACTGATTGAGCGCGTCCTGCGATTCGGCGGCAAAGTAAAAGCTCTTGGCCGTGTGGTACACCTTGAAGGCGTGCGGCTTCGAGTGCACCTCCTTGGCCAGCGACACTGTGAAGCCGGGCAGGAAAATCACCAAGCTGGCGCTGGAGCTCTGCTTGCTGCGAAACCCATACAGAATGGTATCCAGCATGACAAAGTAGATGCGCGCCCAGTAGGTGACCCCGCGCAAGTTTTTCGTACGCCTGTACAGATGACCCTGGATGTCGCCAGTGCCCAGGAGCTTGAGGTTCGTGTTGCGCCGTTTGGCCATCAGGCTGTGCTTCTTCTTCAGCGTCAAGGTGCGCGTCTTGCTCGGCGTCAACAGCTCACTGGCCTCCTGCTCCTTAGCAGTGGTTATTGTGGTTGCTATTGTGGCAGCCGTTGTGGCTGCTGCCATTGCTGCAGCCGCTGCAGTGGTTGCGGTGGTTGCCATGATTGCAGTGCTTGCAGTTGCAGTGCTTGCTTGCTGCATGCTCGCCGGCTTTGGCGGCGGTGGTGGCACAACGGGTGTGAGTTCGTGTGGCTTGCGCGGCCGTGGCGGCGGCGCTGGCGGCGTCACTAGCAAAAACTCTTTGCGTGGCTCAATAGCCGGCGGCGGCGTATCGGACTCTTCCTCGCCCGAATTGTCATAGGCCGGCGTACTGTGGCTTTTGTCCAGGCGGCCACGTCGATTCTGCTGCTGCTGCTGCTGTTGGATTAGCGGCGTGTTGATGGCCTCCGCCAGCGGCGGCGTTTCGCGCGTGGCCAATTCCATGGCTTGGATTAGCTCGGCGCTGGATTCGTTGGCACAGCTACGCAGCGTCTCTAACGCATCCTCGTCCCCCTCGTCGGCGAAGGGTATTGGCTCAAAGGTTTCCAGTATTGTGTTTTCCACATTGCACGTAAACTTCTCGTTCTTAACCACATAATCCTCCACCTTCATGTTGGCATCGAAGCGCACCACTTTGCTGACACCGGGCTTGTAGCGGTCCAGCATTTGCAGCTGCTGCTGGGACGCCAGGCCCGCCTCCGTCAGCTGCTTCAATTTCCGCGCCTCGTTGAACAGCCGCTTGTCCGTGTCGGCGCTCTCGCTGGCTGCCAGACCTATGCAGGTGGTGGGCCGAGGCGCTATCTCGAGGCCATAGCCAAAGGATATGGACTTGTCTCGAATGCTGGGCGAGCCAGGATCACAGATAGCACCACCGCCACCGCCGCCGCTACCTGGCTTGCGTTCATGCCATGAGGGAATCACCAAATGTGGATGCTTCAGGCTAAGGAATTCATCACCACAAATTGTGTTGCGTCGCTGCAGCAGCGCCCGCGGCTTGGGATAGTACAAACGCATCTCGCGGCTGGCAGACTTTGGATCCGTGGGTGTGGGTATATCACTACAGCTGGAATCCGAGTCGGAAGCAGCATGCGCCTGCACCTGCTCCTTCACAAGTTCCTTCACCTTGACGCCCTGGCCGTCATCACTTCGCGGCGTTTTGTGCGCTGACTCAAGGGTTAAGAATGCGGCACGTGGACTCGGACTGGGCAAATTGTCGGCCCATCGGCTGGCCATGTTGCGTTTCTTGCTGGGCAGCCGGTACGGCTGCATGTAAATCTGACCATACATCTTGGTGTGCTTTGGCCGTTTCTTCACAGTGAGCACCACATCGGGCAGCGCTTCGCACAGATGATGCAGCACAGTCTTGTGCTGCCAGCCGACGACTGTCTGGTAGTTGATTTGGACAATTTCGTCGCCATCCTCAATCTTGCCCGAGTTGTGGGCGGGTGAATTGTATTTGATGTCTGTGACGCGATGTATGCCATTGTAGCTCGACTCGATGTTAAAGCCCAGATCCGATTCGCGTTTCTTCAGTGTCACAAGATTGAGCGACGCCGGCTGCAGCACCATCGGATCCGAAATATCCTGGATTATGAAGTTAGCCAGACGCTCTAAACGCTCTGCGGTCGCTTTGATCTGAGCAACTGGTCGCTCCGCAAAGCGATCTCTGTGCGCTATCGTGGCCAACTCCAGGCCACAGCGCAACACATTGCCACAATACTCCCGATACATGTCCTGATTGCGAAACGGCGATCGCTCCAAATTCCCAATCAGCGGCTTCAGCGTCGCAATCGTGCGCGTAATATCATGCAGTGTGCGCGTGTCGATATTTGTGCTATCCGCATGATTCTTGGCGAGTTCACGATGCAAATTGCGGGCCGCAGTACCCACGTGCAGTGCCATAAACTGTAGATTATCATTCTTCAAGTGATAATGCTGAATAGGAGAAAAATCATTTAGTAATTCAAAAAATGAAAATAAATCACAAGTCCAGCGACAATTTTTTCTTCAGATTCTGCATCATAATATTTTACACTCCTATGTATATATATATATATATATATATATATATATATATATATATATATATATAT